TACTTTATTCTCATCAAAGTCGAGAAAATTTAATTGGATGTTTGACACATGTTTACTGAGTAAGTATGATGATGTCTGCACCTGCTACAGAATTAAGACTCTTACTACTAAACCAGTGACATTTCTCCATATTTTCCCATCTGTAATTTAGAATACTACAGATGGCGAAATTAGTTTTAGTAACCCAATTACATCTAGCATCATACCAAACTCAGATATAGTTCAAAAATTGCTTCTGCGATTGATGAAATAAGATTACTTTTTACACGGAAATAATCTATTTTGGGTACAAATTCAATTTCTACTGAATCCACAATTTGTAAAGCTAAGCTCTTCACATACAGTAGGTCTGTCAAATAATTGATTTATTACAAATTTATATGTGAAATATCTTTCATCATGCATGTACACAGTATTGAATGAGAACAAGCAGAGAGGCATGTCTACAAGTTTTAATTTAGATAATTGACAATATAATTGTCATACCTGGAATACATCATATTAAGATGTGAAGAGAGACAGAAATGGGTTTTAATAATTTATTCAACATAAACTAGGTCTATACAGGTCACAATTTTATAGAATACAATTTTATTCCAATTCAATTACTAAATGCTATCAACACAATTTATAAACTAGGTCATTGCAGGATTATTTTAATAATTCACTTGCCAGTAGGAGTCTTCAGTAGCTAGAGGTATTGTAGAAAACCCATGAGTGTTAGGCAAGTCACCTGACTGACTTGTATTCAGTCGTTTTATTTTGAAATAAGATCAGTGCGTTGTAATTTCTATTTAAACAGTGGTCTACAGCAGTCACAATGGGTATTCTATAAATATCATTTTATTTTTGAAATAAAGAGTTGCTTGTCAATCAATACTAGAGGTAAAAGCTGCAAAGGTTGTCGCATATTGTTTTTTAGCTCACAGGGCATTACCAGACGTTAAAAACTTATCAAGAGTAATAAATAACACTTGGAAGTAATTATCAGAAGTAATTATCAGAATTAATTAAAATTTGATTGGCTTCTAGTTCTTCCATGATAACATTTATTATACAAGACATGTATCGGATTGGTTATCAGATGATAACTGAAGTGAAGTGATTCAAGTTATCAGAACTCATTTAACAAGCGGTTGCCATGCAAGATACGCCCACATTTTGCAAGAGATGGACAGAGAACAAGCTCAAAAAGAAGTGATTTTTCGTACAATCAAGGGCCATAATTCAGGAAGTTACAATCCGATATGCATGAATATTGACAGGAACCAAGATCTTTGGGTTATAAAAATGCATTTCAAGTTTCATCAAAATCGGATCAAAATTGTGTCTTCTCTCTAGAGGGTCCAAAACCTTGATATACCACATGTACAATATTTGCGTACGATGGGCAGCCATTTTGTCCGGTAGTTTTGGTCCGATTTATACGAAATTCAGACTCAACCATCATAAGGGTGTAACAGTGATATATTCAAACGTTTTTTTAAATCGGATAAAAATTGTGACATCTAGAGGGATCACATCCTAAAAACGCAACTTTTCGTACAATCAAGGGCCATAATTCAAGAAGTTATGATCCAATATGTGCGAATATCGAAAGGAACCAAGATCTTTGGGTTATAAATATGTATTTCAAGTTTCATCAAAATCGGATCAAAATTGTGACCTCTATAGGGTCCACAACCTTGCCATATTTTTACGCAATTTGAGAACGAACGATGGCCATTTTGTCTGTCAATTTTGGGCCGATTTTCACGAAATTCGAACTCAGTCGTCCTTAGGCTGTAACGGTGATAAAATAATACGTTTTTTTAAATCGGATAAAAATTATGACCTCTATAGGGTCCACAAGCTAAAAACGCGATTTTTTGTACAATCAGGGGCCATAATTCAGGAAGTTACGGTCCGATATGCGCGAATATCGAAAGGAACCGAGATCTTTGGGTTATAAACTTGAAATGGAACGTGACCCTCTTCTCACTTGCCAACTTTCATTTACTGATCTCACTAATTCCAGCTTGATTTCCGGTTTAATAAACCATTCCATCTAACCTTTCACGTTTTCCTTTTTCTTTCTTCTCTTACCTTACTATAGCCTCCAGGCCTCAGACCCGCCCTGGGCCTGCCTTCTTTTCCCATCCAATCTACCCGGTCTGAAGAGTTCAATACGAACGAAACTAGTTCACCGCTTTTTGCCCGAAATCCCGGCAGAAGTATAGACACGTCTACCTCGCACCTTACCTAAATCTTACTTTAGGTTAATCCTGAATTGAGCCTCAATACCGAACTACGGTATTCGAATACTCATGAACCTCGCCACAAGACCACATTCTGGCAATATAATCTAGTAACCTCGGCGACCCCGCCTAATACTCACCCCGGTAAATCATATTTACGGGGACTATTAACACCGAACCCCGGTGCCTGGCATATCCATGAACCCCGCCAAAATATCAAACCCCGGTATACCAACCCCGCCAAATTATACCAAACAACTGTATAATCAACCCCGCCAAAATTTACCAAACCCCGGTAAAATGACCCCGCCAACCCCGCCAATTCTCGGAATAGTATAAATAGACCCCCGCCTTTGGAGTCTAACCAGTCTGAAGAGTTCAATACGAACGAAACTAGTAACTTAAAAAATCAGGGATAACTAGAAGATCGCCCTTTTCTTTCTACTTTTACCATATTTTTAAGCTATTTGAGAATGAACGACGGCCATTTTGTCTGTCAATTTTGGGCCGATTTTCACAAAATTCGAACTCAGTCGTCCTTAGGGTGCAACGGTGATATAATAATTCGTTTTTTTAAATCGGATAAAAATTATGACTTCTATAGGGTCCACAAGCTAAAAACGCAATTTTTCGTACAAACAGGGGCCATAATTCAGGAAGTTACGGTCCGATATGCGCAAATATCGAAAGGAACCGAGATCTTTGGGTTATAAACTTACATTTCAAGTTTCAACAAAATCGGATAAAAATTGTGACCTCTACAGTGTTCACAAGCCAAAAACAGGATTTTTCGTACAATCAGGGGCCATAATCCATGAAGTTACGGTCCGATAGATGCCAATATCGAAAGGAACCGAGATCTTAGGGTGATAAACCTATATTTCAAGATTCATTGAAATCGGATAAAAATTGTGACCTGTAGACTGTTCACAAACAATTGTGGACGGACGGACGGACGGACAGGGGCGACGACAATATACGTCCACATGAAAATGTGGGCGTATAAAAACAATGGGCTTCATTGTCTCCATGAACATAAACATTGTGTATAAATTTTACATAACTGATATCTCTCACTACCTAATTATCATCATAAAATCATGTATATGTATGGTATCATCTTATCGATAAAATCAACTTCAATACGTTTAAATTTCCTAACAAGTATATTCTTTAAAATCACTCAAGCCTTCAATAGGAAAGATTCAATTAAACATATGCCCACAGATACTATGGTGTCCAAGTAGTCCATGAAGGCTGTCACAATTTGTACTATTCCGTAGGTGTTGGAAACATTTACAAAAGATAAGAAACTGATCCATAAGTTTTTTCAATTCAATTAAAGGCCATAACTTCTGACAGTAATGATCAGAAATCATTGAAAATCAATAGCCTATTTTATCTCAAGAACATAAATATTGCCTATAAATTTCATGTTTACTACTGACTGACAGGGATGATGACAGTATTTAAACACATTTCAATGTGGTGGCATAAAAACAAATTGCAGCCAAATCAACTTTGGCTCTTTAAATAAATTTGTGATATTACCTTGATGAGAACTTGTGACTAATTAAACCTATGATATTAGTTGAATGTTATAGCATCTTACATACAGGTACTCTCTATAGTACATGTCCTAATAACCTCATAATGTATTAGGTAAATTAGAAAGTAATTAATCTACAGTAATAAGCTTACTATAACGGTGTCATAGTGTGTCATATACTTTAATAAATAATACTTAATATATAACAAACCATCAGGAGGAACATGTACTATCTTATTTGACAAGGGATGAGGTTTTATTTAATGCCAAGTAGGTTTTTTAAGTACCATACAAGTAATAATCTGTTACGTCACAATTTATAATCACTTTCTATTTTATAATATATCGTTCTGTTTGAATTTTCTTTTTTTTTATGGAAAAATTGTACTATCTGTGTTTATCTGTGCAGTGTTCTTGCATTCTTCCACTTACAGTATTCATTATAAATTTTCAAACTTCAAGAAAAGGCAAAAAAAAAAAGAACCATCCTGGCAAAATTCTTAGAATGACCTAGTAATATGTTGATGTGAAGTTAATCTTTTATTATTTCCTTTCCATGCACTCAACATTAAAATCTATAGTTTAATATATCTAGGACCTCATTATATTCTCCATCCCTGTAAGTTCGGTTTCTAAACATGTACATTGTGTGCCTACTACATGGTAGCTCTGGATACTAACTTGCGACATCGTGGCTCAGATGAGTAGTTTAATATACAGGTTCTAAAAGTCATTTCAATGAGAGGTCCTCATCAAAGAATTCAACAATAGCCCATTTTTCATTTTAAAAGATGCAATGTTTGTCCCGGTCTTGTATGGTCAGTAATTGGATACTTTGTCAATGTAACAAGTGTCAAGTATTAATCAACATTGTTCAGTTGAAGTGGTCAGTCATGTAGGGTTAAAGAAATGATTCTTATATAGTCCTGTACTTTATTGATCTTAAATTTGGTAATGGGCCACTACAGGATTTAATGTAACGTTTCTAGAATTTTTGAGTTGCAGCTGTATGAGGATAAGCTGAAAACCAATAAGAGCATTGTAGTCAATGCATTCAACAGCCGATTCCTAGAAAACTCATAAGATTAAGTCAACTGAAATCAATATTTGTCCAGTACATTTGGCAAAGATTACGTTTAATTTGTTGTGACATGATTTTGAAATCAGAGGAAAGAAAACCCAGCTTTAATAAAGTCAAAAAAGAAAAATCTTACCTAAAATGCTAATACTGTGCATGGAGATGGTATCAAAAAACAAGGGCAGACAACCTGAAATAGAAAAGAAAATTATGGTAGACAAAACATTAATTTGGAATTATTAAAATGAATCTAAACCACTCCTTGAATTTGAAAAGTCATAATTTTCCTTCACGGTATTTAACAAAAAAAACCAGTTTATCCTTTAAGAATGAAAACAGTCATTTTCATTGGACAGTATGATTTTATAAACTCTTCTTAGGAAAAGACATAGCCTTCTGCAGAAGTTAACATTTCCAGAACAAACTAAAATGAATCCATAAGCGACTAATATATATATATATATATATGACATATGTGTCAAAAATGCAATCAGTAACTCTATGAAGCACACACCAATAAAAGTTCTAAACCATAAAAAAAGCTCCTGAAGGATGGCAGAAAATCAATTATCCGAATATATGTACAGTTTTGACCAGTTCAATGTTGAATAGACTTATGATCTAAAAGCCATATAAATAGTCACAATCTTCTGGTCGACTGCTAGAAATATCAATATCAGGCTAGATCTCAATACATTATATAAATTACTTACAATCATACAAGACATACTTTATCATCATTGATTATCAACATAGACTTACATTAATATTAATTAATTTACTCAAGTTTAATGTAGCATTGACAAATGAGCATCTTTGTAATAACTTCTTGAACTCTGTAAACTTGATTCATCATGATGCTTTTCTCCACGGTTCAATAACTAATAGGTATACTTATCCCTTATGTGATCAATTGTCTACTCCTGATGGAGACTTCCTTTAACAATAAATCTCCAAGAAACTTCAGTTATAGTTGCAACTACTAAGTTTGTACACATCATGACTTCTATATTGACCCACACAACTGGTCTAGTAAGTGAACTATGGATAAAGTCAAGGTACTGATGAACACAGGGAATTTCACTTCTGCTCTATCCCATTTGAAATCTAGGATGGGTTCACACAGATATTATTTGAAGGTACACAAAACAAATCAGTTCAGATCAATGTTGCCTTCACACTGTCATTACTATTAGTCTCTCTCATTGTGCTGCAAAATCTAACTTGATCAGTTGATCTCATCTGAGACTAATGACAGTTTTGATATAATGTGTCAGTCTTATCTCTTGTGAGAAGCAATGCAATTACTAACTTGAATTAAGAAATCGTGGTGTTCATGACTTCGTACTGAACTGCTACCCGAATCTGCCACACTTTACCCAAAAGCAAATTATTCAAAGTATATGTTGTGTTTATATTTCACATACAGACAAAATGGATATACTTTGGATACTAATTCCAAGTTTCCAAGGTGCAGCTTTTCCTTGATGCTATGACAACATATAAAGAATGCAGTGTCACAAAAAATAATTTTCAAAATTTACTAATTCTTATAGATAAGATTGCTCTTCCATGGAATTTTTTCTCCCGAATACATGTATTTTAAATTGATTAAAAATATCTGTCAAAATGAACAGGCTAACTTCCACTTGGTGAAGCCCAACAACAACTTGTGAGAACCAACTAAAAACTACAATCCCAAATTGTCGAGTTCAAACATTTACCCTTAATAAACCAACATTATTGTTGAATTAGACAAACCCATCATACAATTAATCTAAATCAAACAGATTAAGATTTAAAAAAAAACAAATAAAAAACAACTGTTTCTCGTCTATCCGTACATTTGCACCAGTCCGTAATAAAATCCAAATGTAATATAAACCTACTGTTTCAAATTACAAAATTAATTGTTCATCATTCCTAAAAATAGCCTGAAAATGTTTTCCTGAACTCTGTCCGCAAAACAAATTTCTCCAAAATCCTTTCCTGTACACTAATCAGCTTACCTTAACATACCCCAGCTGGACATCTAGGAATATAAGGAACAAAAACTTCAGCATAACATAAGTTATTAATAAATCTATGTGAGATATATCCCGTTGTTGATATGTATATCATGTCAAGTATTCAGTATGTGTTGTCCAGATGTTATTATAAAAATATACTTTCATAAACACAGTCCACTTTATGCTCTTATAAAATGTACCTATAAAAAGTGGTGTCAATGTCTGATAATTTTTACAATCTGTGGAACTTGTAAAAGCTGAAATAAATACATTGTACTTGGTAACTTCTGAAGTTCTAAATCTTAATTCAAGATGAAATTCAAAGAATCCTACAGTCATTTGATAGAACCATGAGTTCAATTTGCAAACTCTCATCTCTGGATTCTCAACCACACAGCAATGACATCACAATAAATAGGGAACCATTCATTTATGAACCCAAAGGTTTCAAACTCAATTCAAAATATCTTGCATTATGAAAATGAAATGGGGTTTGACGTCCTACTTTTCTGCACCTTCCAGGCTAATAAAGACAATAAATGTGCTACTTGTATGACGGAAATTTTTCCCAGACATTGGCCTTTCCACCTAACCTTCCAACTACCAAAGTCAGGTTGTTTTTTTTTGGCAAATCTGAATGTCTAGATACTGCTTCTGGCCAGGCCCTCTGTCCTGCACCACTGAGGACGTTTTCTGCCAAACTTGGATTTAACCCGGACATCCTGCTTAGGGAGCCAATGCCTCCACTCACATTATGGCTCCGAAAATTTCTATCCAGATAATATTGTATCTAAACTGGGTTGAACTTAATGACCTGTATAACAAGTACCTTATGGTCTTGTACCCATACACTAATAATACAATATCCTACTATAAACAAACACCACTGTAGATATTGGTAAATACATGCCACATAATACAAACCATAATTCTCACACATCTTTTCTACAAAATCCAGGTCACACATATATCTTTAACCTGGTCAATCTTTGACCATCATTCAGGATCAGATTACCTCAAATCTGTGTTACTATGTAAAATGGCTAATATTATCCCTGTTTGATAACTATTATCTTTGGCCAAGTTCTTTTAGTTTAAAGTGGTTTTCTTGATAATAGCAAGACTGATTAAAATTGATAGATCCAAAAGTTGTTTTTTTATACAGAAAGATCTATTTTTATCTTTATGGCACAAGTCTTGTTTACTGTTAATTATCTAATACAATTCAAAGTTGTCTTCGTCAGAGTTTTAAACCTATCCTTCTTACAAATGTTATTGGGTCAAATCCAAGACCTCATATTTGCAAACTAAAAATAATTAGTTTAAGAACAGGCACTTGTTCTCCTTCAATAAAATTAAAATAAACTGGTTTCAAACAAGAAAAGATAATCAAATTAGTCCAAGGAATAATAACTCACAGACAGGGGTAAAAGCTAAAAGATACAACACCATCAATACCATGTCCGTAGATAAACTAGGTTCGGCTTATTCCCTTGAATTACAGGTATATAATATGGTGAGAAACTATTTGTATGATTTTAGTCAAAATATAAATTACATTTGTCAGCTATTTGCAATATTCACTTTCTACTACTATGCATGCTATACAATATTCATACAAATTTATACCTTTTTAAGGCATATGTGATTAGTTATGCACATAATAAATGAATTAAATAGATAAAGCTGTGACTATCATTCAAATAGCCTTGGATTTCCTTCAATAGAAACGTGATATATCTCCGGCAGAGAAACCAGACGGTTAGACATTTCATGGTGCTCTTTTTCTCACATTTTATCTAACAAATGACAAATCTTGTATTATGATTTACGCACACATATTATACCACTCAGCCATCCCCACCCCCTTTATCTAATAGAAATTGTATCATATCTATACAATACTGAAAATGTATTTACTTTTAAGTAAAATAATGAGTTCATTTCTTCGCGCAAAGTAGAAAAATATGCCATTCAAATTGATTTTACAACAAAAATTTATGCACGGTAGGAAATGAGAATTGAGAAAAAGAGATTAAGGAAAAGAGACTAAGTTAAGGTAAGGAGATAATGAGTAGCTCTATAGTTGTGGTAATGTCATTAGTGGTGGTAGCATAAGGTGAAAATAGGTATAGATCATTACTAATATTATGATGAAATTGATCTTTTCAGTGTATAGAGCTTTCAACAAGACACCATTCTTCTACCTATTTATAATACTTAATAAACAACCAGTGTCCAGACATCCCATCTATGTTGTAGATATTGTTCAAAACACAAAAATATATAATAATTTTAAGGTGAACTTGACAACTCGTTTATGATCACTGGAACATAATTGCCACAGATGTTTTGTTAAACGGTGGGACATTATAAATAAAATTGTTTCTATGCTACTACTTTGTATCACTACCTACTATAAGTAACACTATCAAAATTATAGAGACAGGGTTATGCTGGCACTTTCACATTATTAGCATTACTTAATGCCACAACACCTGTTTATGATACTCAACTCTTTGCAAACAAGTACTGTTTTTTGACATTGATCTCATTTATATACATCTACTAATGTTTTGTACCATGAAAAGATCATGCAAGGTCAAATATTTTGTAGAATAGTGTTCTGTATACAACAGTACTCCAAAGCATTTTAAAGTCCACCTCCATTTTTTACAGTAAAAACAAGGACCTCAATCTTTGTCATTGACATTACCTTTCAATAGTACAACTAGCATCATTCTCTCTTTTTTGAGGTAAGCTGAATCAGAGAGAAAGAAATGGGATTTAACATCCACTCAACACAAAATATGTCACTTTGGGACTAACATGTGACACATTTTTTACTTCGATAATTCTAGTGTGCGTATAAATCTTTAGCTGTGGGAGGAAACATGAGAACAAAGAAAAAACCCACTGGGTTGGACAAGCGAAAATCCTCACTCAAAGTCACGTCAAAGCTTAGGATGGAAACCACGTCACTTGACTCGATGACATCACATGTTTTAGACCATACATGTATATCACTAGACAAATCAAAAACAAATATTGGTTGGTAAAAAGATCTGACATATCCATGTTTTAATTTAAAAGCATAACGAAATTTTTGTTTGTATCTAACACTTTTACTTTTAGTATTTATACATTCTGAAAGTTTTCTATATTTAGGCAAAGGTTAATT